AGAAGCTGTTGCCTTTAGCCTTGCCCCAATTCGGTCGACGGAACGAGTCGGCGAATTTCACAAGTTGTTCGCGGTGTGGATACGACGTCGTGGATCCATTAATTGAGCTAGCAGCTCAAGCTTGTTGGTATATGCATGTTGATGAAATGATTATTCCACCATCTAGATACGCGAGCGCGTCTCTCCAAACGGCGTGCGACAGGACACGTCTCTCTCTCTCTCTCTCTCTCTCTCTGTCCCCCTCCCTCTTCCTCTCTGCCCTTCATTAGTCGCTGGCTGGCTGAATGTACCTTTACGTCGGTACGTGACGGAGCGCGGATAAGGAGAGAGGATGGCGGTCACACAAAACGCGGCTTCATGGAGCGCAAAGAAGTCCGAGAGCGAGCCAGGACCAGCGGGAGTGTTCGTGACCGGCACAGCCCGGGCAGTTAAAAGTGGGGCCGGGGCCGGGGTTTGGGGCTGGGGGGCGGCCCGAGGCGGCCCCCGACCTTCCGAGCGGGACCCTTTGCGACTCCGACAAGCTATCGTTTGGCGGGGTGGATGAGCAAGGGAGAGCCGAGAGCCGACCGGAAGATGCATTTGCCGGGGCCAGAACGTCGTCGATCGGTGCTCACCGGCGTTTAGGTCTCCAGGAGGGATGTTTTTTGAGAACGCGGGGTGATCGAAGAGAGCCGTTAGCTAGTGGACGCCCAGGCCTCAAATCCATACTTTTCATCGAGTAAGAACCCCTGAAAATTGGCGTTCACTCTTCAAAGATACCGTACCGTGACCGTGGCCTGCTGTTCCTCCTCATAGCGCATAGTTTTTAAAAGGCTTCACACATGACTTCGAAGAACGTCCCAGGTGTTATTGACGTGGACAAACGCACACGTTAATGCGTTTACCTCCAAATGATTTAAGCTACAATAATGGACGTGTTTCATATCAAGGTGTGATTTTGTTGGACGTCATTCCTGTGGACGTAGTGAACGACCGACCGCGAGCGATGGGACGGGCGGTATATCAAGCTTGCGTTCACGTTCTCGTCACCGCGTTCACGCTTACTACACGCTGCTGTTCACAAGAACCCGCACCCAGCCCGCCGGGCGGGGCCAGGCCAGGCCGGGGGGCACTAGGTCGCGGCCGCGGGGCGGCGGGCGGGGAGTCTTCTTCTTTGCATTTTTATTATATTCTCAGGACGCTCATCGCGATGGCGGGGCGGGCCTCGTGTGCGGCGCGCAGCTCGTGGAGCCGCAGCCTTGTTTCGTGATTAATGCACACCCCGGCTGTTAATCCCGCCGGGGCCGGGCCGCCCTGCCGGAGGGAGGACCGTTACTCCCAGATAGTTAACACAGTCTGTGCCCCGGGCCGAGGGAGGACCACCGGGGGGCACCGGCCGGCACCGGCCGGCACCGCCAAGCAGTCTGCTGAGAGCCAGGTCGCGGACGCCGCCACCACCGCCTCCTCCCCACCTCGGCCCCCTATCGTTTCTTCTCCCCATCCCCCCCACACACACACTTTTTCCAAAAGGTTGCAGAACGACTGACAAAATACGTGCATCAGCTGCTTGAACGAAATATTCTAACCCCTCTTTAGTTTAAGGCATGTGGCGTCGATGTGGGGACCGGTGGGTTTCGCGCTAAATCTGCGTTTTGAACGGGATGGCGGGTGTGTTTACGTTATTAGACGACGTTGTCCTGCCCTGCCCCCCGCCCCCCCCCCCCCTCACACATATATTATGTCGCACGCGTTGTGGGGCAGGTAGATACCGGGTGGCTGATTAGCCCCGCTCACTTCTGTAGTTATGCTGTACCGCACGCCCGAGTGCTGGCGGGTCACCTACTCGCCCACAGAATAACTACAGAAGTGAGCGAGGTAAATCAGCCACCTGGTGCAACCCGTCACAAGACTTTGAAATGCCCAGCTGGCAAATGAACGAGTTACAAGTACGGTAGGGCGCTGTTTAACTAAATGCACTATATAATTAACTTGTTTAAGGTGCGGCACAAAATGTTTGGCAGTCTTAACTGCAAGAATCATGCTGTACTTCTTAATGCTGGGAGACGTCCGACGCACGCGGGGGGAGGGGGGAGGAGGGGCTACGTCGTTACACGATAGGATAGCGGGTGACAGCGAACAGACCCATCAGTCAGGCGAGGAGAGGACGCCGTTGGAGGGCCCGGCAGGATAGGATACGATAGGGCACCGGCACGGAGACATCAGGCGATGTGCTCGTATCCGCCGCGGATACGGCGCTCGCGACGATACCACGGCCAACGGTACACTTAATATGAGACAAGGAGAAAAGGAGGGGGGGGGGGTCGCTCTAGATATGAGAGAGCAGCCCGGATACTACTTCAAAGGTTAATGAGTATACGTATGGCCACCGCTTTAAAGAAAACGGCAACAAAGCATCTTGGGAAAAAGAAAAAAAAAGAATACGACAGGTGGATAAGCGCATCGGTTAAGTTTAAAAGAATTCTTTAAAGAATAAATATAAAATACTCCTGGTAAAGGCACCAGGCACGCATAGTGGATAAATCGCGCGCTCGCGTACTATTGCGCATTGGTCGTCAGACTGCAACGTGTCCCCATACCCAGAGAAATTATTAGCAATGCCAACCATCCTATGGTTGGCTCAGGGAGCACCATAAAAAAATGGTTGAGACAACAATGACAACGTAATAGAAACTATATTTTTGGTTCTCACAACCACGATAATAATGTTGCATCAACCATATTTTATGGTGCTCCGTGAATTAACCATACGGTGGTGGCTAGAGCGATAAGCTTTTTTCTAGTTGCCGCACGCACGCATGCGAGCAGATTTGCCCGACCGTCTCCCGGCCACCGAGAGCGAATAGGCAAATCGCCCGCACGCGTAAATCCGGTACAGTCAACGCTTAATCAGCGTCAGTTGGCTGCTTCCCACAGCGACATAACCGCTGTTTCCTTTTCAGAGTCGCGGTATCAAAAAAAAAATGTTTACAGCGAGCGCGAGAAAAAAGTGACTGTCGGCGCTTGACGATATCATGATAATTCGCCGAGATAGCGGATGGCTGCGATTTCCAGCGGCCGACCGGCCGGCGGCAGGTGCGCTCCGGGCCGCAGGCCGGCGGTGCAGTACCAGCCGGCCGGATACACACCCGGCCCGTATGTAGTGCATGACGGCGGCGCAAATGAGCAGGCTGAACGGCGATGAGGCAGTTCTTTTCTCTCCCCTCTCTCGTGCCACCGTGTCATTTCAATTTAACTTTAGGGTCACATTGGAAATGAGCGTATAGGGTATGCTTTTGTTCTTGTCATCGTCGTCGTTCCTGATTTCTAGGTTAAAGCCAGGCACTGGTGAGGTGACGCCGTTTTCCACGTGTGCGTCGACCTCGTCGTTGACCGCTCGGCTCGGCTGCCGTCGACCAGGACTCACCCGCGGTGATGCAGAGCAGGAGGCACGGGAGGAGCGCGCTCCGAGCCATGGCCCCGGCCTAAGGCCCCGGCCTACGGCCCCGGCCTCATAGCGTCGCGCTCATGGTGGTGCTGGTGCTGGTGGCGATGCTGGTGGCGGTGGTCGCGCGCGCCCAGGAGCTGCAGGAGGGCCTTGCCCGCCCGGCCCCACCACGCCCGGGAACACCCCCTGGGGACGCCTCGGGGTGTTCCTCTGCGCGCGCCCCTCCTCGCATTCCCGGTGAGCCCGAGGGGTGAAGGGCTGGCGGGGTTCACCACGGGCGTCGGGCTGGCGGCGGGTGAGCTGCAAGCAGAGAAAGGGCCGTGAGTGTGAATGTGCAATGTGCGGCGGGGCGGGGCGAGGGGTG